CAATTATCATGACAGTATGTTGCTGTTTGTACAGTGTAACATCAACCACCAGTTTTAGTCCATTAGATAAACATCCTGTCTAGTTTTGTTTATAGATGATGACGCTTGGCCTGTTTTTCAGTGTAGTCCTGTTTCTCTGACTGTGACTAACTGTGTGTGCTCTCTTTCATCCTCTGACATGGGAGCTGGCTCAGAGATAGTCTGCCTGCCTGGCTGTGTGTTTCCTGGACACCCGTAGAGCTGGTTGACAGTTGCCTTTTGTATCTCTACTTTTTTCCGTATGTCTGCTTCGGTCTCCTTGAACCCCAGTCGGCCTCGGCAGATGACCGCTCACACAGCCTGGTTGTGCAGGAGGTTTCTTCCTGTTGAAAGGGAGTTTTCCTCTTCACTGTCACTGCATGCATGCTCGGTTTGATGGATTGCTGAAGAGTCAATGAGGTAATGCAATCAGCTGGGTTTCCTTAGATAAAAAAATCTTCGAAACAATCTGACTGTATGATCTGGTTGAATTGTCTCTGTAAAGTGCCATTAGATTACACATGTTTTGAATTGGAACTACATAAATAAATTGAAATAAAATGAAATTGAATTGCTAAGGTGTATGAGAGCAAACACAGGTAAAGTTATACTTGTAGCATTAGTTATGTTGATACAACAATCAAACAATAAAGTCCAAACTTGTTCCTTTTATATATAAATACAAATCTTAAAGGAATTGTAATATTTTCTTATAGTTTACTGAAACTGTCAAGCCATTTTGTATGAAATTAGAATTTTAATTGAAAAATTCGAAGCATTTTTTTATTAATAGTCTGTTTTAAAATTTAGGCATTTAAAGAAGGCAACTTATGGTTTCCGGCCCTCATACGTTTGTCTCTTTGGGCGAGTCTCTTTGTGAACTGCAGTAAAGTCTGACATTACAGCCAGAATAAAAAGGATGAAGCTTAGTCTATCTAGCGACGTAAAAAAGTTTCTAACAAAATCACATCTCAAGTCAAAATATTTTGAAACTTGCAGTGGACCGCTTTAGAAAAAAGCATAAAATCTTAGAAATACAGTAACTTCTTTCTCTTCGTTTCCTGGGTGACTTCCAACAGCCTTTAGAAAATGTTTTAAAAGAAACGTTCAACAGTCCTTGAGAAAAAGTTTATCGAACACTTTGAATTATACTTTTTCTGCCTTTAAAATTCCCTTAAATAAAAGCTTTCAAAACATCGACAATTTCTTGCCTTTAGTCAGAGCTTTGCTCTTTAAGTAGACTTCACTTAAGTACTGAAAGTGTGTATTAACAAACAGAGGAATCCTGCTCTATCTGTAAAGGATACAGATGTATGTTTTACAGTGTACCGCAGTGCATAGAGCTGAGTTCACAGCAAGGAGCACTGCTAAGACTCATCAGTCTGCATCTCTGACGGTTTTAACAGTTTATCACGACCAAAAAACATAATTCAGAACTAAATACACCAATTCCAGTTTTTTTATTTTTAGAAAAGTTGCAAAGAACAAAGAAAATTAAGAGGATTTCAAATGACACAAAACTTTCAACAGTTTACAAAACTACAAAGTGTCACTCAGCCTCTCACAATACAGGCATTTCATCCTGACAACTTAATCAGGAACAACGTCACAGGCTATGGAACTGCAATTAAAAACAAAGTGTTTCTTTATTGGATGTCATTACTAGTAAACAGAATCTGGCTCTCATACTTTGACGTATTCAAAATCAATTATTGATATTTAGGAAATACGTATTTCTTACTGTGTATTACTGCTAGATGCAGGGATTCATGAAAAATAAAAAATAACCTTGAGTTACAGATATGGATATGGCATGCATGTCTTCTGTGCTTGGAGTAAAATGTCACTGGGGCTCAGGTGGAAAGGTTTAAGCAGTCAACCCGAGGCAAAAGCTTCGACTGTCAGTCAGGTTTCCAGTCAATCATCGCTTCCAGGTATAAAAGTGGGAACCATGGACTACATAAAGTGCTGCCTTCATCTCTCTCTTTTTGTCACGAGTTGCTGAATATCTATTCGGCTCATTAATTGGATGGTGGATTATTTGTGTGCTAGGTTGCATCATGAAAATTCAATAAAGACCTTCAGAGTTACGAATGTAGTAATGGTAAATCTGGTTGACGAAAGACCTGTTAATGCCAGAGATCAGGAGAGGTTATGCAAGAATATTAAGTAAAGAACTGGAACCCTACATTTACAATCACGTGATTTCTTTCTGTGTTGAGCTTCCAAGGTTAAATAGATGTTGCATGTTGCTCAGCCTTGGAGAGTTCTCCAACAATGATCCTGCACAACCTACAGCAGCATTATTAAAATAAACAGTGAATGTATGAAAAGAGCAAGACAAGCCTCATGAGCCCAAAAGAGGGTGCAATTATGACGTTTGGTCTACTATTATATTAGAGCTACAGAGAGGAGAGCAAAGATTTGTAAGTCTTCAAAATGATCTAATAAAATACAATATTGCCATCTAGTGGTTAAAAGAAATCTTACAATGTTACGAAATGGGAGAAAATTTAAGTATATGTGCATTCTAGTTGACATGTGGTGTTCTGAATATCTTTTTATTAGTTGTATGGAAATTGTTCTTTGTCAATTTTAAATTTACTGAATTGAAATATTTTATGGCACTGATTTGATATCTATGGTAATAATTATGTTTGAAATTGATTAGAAATAACTGAATGATTTTGACTGTTTTCGTTACAGAGGGAAATCTGTCACTATATACAAACAAAATTGATGGTTTAGAGAATCTTATTGCATCAGATATTTTTTTTAACTTTTCATGTTAAATGTAGGGCTGTAAATTGGAACAGTTGGTAGCACAGCTGCCTTGCAGCAAGAAGGTTCTGGGTTTGATTCTAGACCCGAGGTCTTTCTGCATGGAGTTTGCATGTTCTCCCTAAACATGTGTGGTTTCTCTCTGGGTACTCCTGCTTCCTCCAACAGTCCAAAAAAATGACTGTTAGGTTAATTGACTTCTATAAATTCTCCTTAGGTGCGAGTGTGTGAATGAATAGTTGTTTGTGCCGTTTGTCTCCATGTTGCCCTGCGATGGACTGGCAACTTGTCCATGGTGTACCCCGCCTCTTGCCTGTAGACAGAGATAGGCACCTGCAGCCCTTATGACCCCATGGCATGGGATAAGTGTGACGGAAAATGGAATTGCAAGTTAAAAGTAAGCAATATAGTATAGAGATTAACAGATAGTTATTCAGTTTTAGTTCCATTTTACAGTATATTCCTACATACATTCCTTATTTATATCTCTTTGTAATTAGGCTGCTACTTTACAATAAGACATCTGGAGGTATTGAAATGTGCCAGGGTTAACCTGGTTTGCAATATAGATTACTCTATTAGGAAATTAATGCAGGAAAATGCATACATTCCAATGTTCTAATCCCCACAGTTGGGTCTTCCAGAAAAGATATGATCTGGAGTCCATTTAAATGCATTGGCAACAGGTCACAGATAACATTTAATTTCCAAACTCTGCAAACAGGAGCCAGGTCTGTGTTGCATTCGATTTTTGCTTAGGCTTTCATTGCAACTTTCCGAGTGATTGATCGGATATTTGAGCCAATAGGTTGGGCGGCCACTATCGGGAAGGTTCAAATCAAAGAAGAAAATGTAAGGTAGTCGAAAACTTTATACTATTGCTCATTAAAAAACAAAAACTGTTGACATTTTGAGCCAATTATTAGTTTGAGATATATTGAATGAATTTCATTTCAAAGTCCTTTTTTTTTTTTTTTTGTCAGGTGAAGGATTGAATATAAATGATTAACTCCCCGACTTCTCCATCTGCTATCACAAATGTAGGGGGACACTGTTTACTTTTGCAACAGTGCAGTGTTGCCAGTTGCTTTCAAGGTTGCTAAACCTGAACCTATGTAGACCTAAACAGGCCTAGCACTTCTAGTAGAGAAGATTTACACAGCTTCGTAAGACAGTTATAACCAAGCTGAAAATTAGCACAAGAGATTTTACCCTGGACATGAAAAAGTGTTCTTTTTTTTTAAACACCAAGTCTGGATTTCTTTACTGTCCTGTAAACTAGCCCTACAGAGCATCATTGTACCTAAACTAGACCAAGCCCATAGTTTTCAAAAGCTACAGAACAGAAATACAAAGAAATGAATTTGTAATCATCTCATTTTCACTTAAGAACCACTTCATGAAAAATAGTAACTTTTTATCACTTTTATTTCTGATGAGGAGGCTGCTTCAAGTTTCATCACAAATGGAGCTGACTGTGCAGGGAAAATATCCAGAGTCAAAATTAAAGATGAACTGTGAACATTGTTAGGTAAAATGTTAAATCCTCAATCTAACCTTTCGTACATTTAGCTGGTAGGTCATAATTAACACTGTAGGTCACTTCAGAGAGGTTTTTTTTTACTCCTTTTTCATGAATAATTCTGGTACTTAAAAAAAAAAAACATGTAGATGCTAACTGTAGGATGCTCACATTAAACCTTTAAATGAAGAAAAAAAGAACATGTCTAGTTAGTGGCCTCACAACAGAAATATTGATTTAGGGTTTTGGATAGAAAATTGGCTTTTCATTAAAACTGAAGATTAACTAATACTTTTTTTTTCCAGAGAGCCTTAAAAAGAAAAAAAAAACTGAAGTCCAAATGCCGATACATCTCATTTAAAAAAAAAGGGAAAAAAAACTGAAATCCAAATGCCGATACATCTCATTAAAAAAAAAAAGAAAAAAAAATCACAGCTGACATATCTACACATTAAATTACCTCAAAACTTCCAAAGCACATAGCAGTTTTTAATTCATAGCTGTTAGCAGAGGCTGATTGTAAAGAGACATGTCTATGACATGTCTGTGTGATTATTACAACTTGACAGCAGCAAAGGATATTCCATGTAAAAAAAGACTTGAAATGTAAACGAAACTCAAAATAGGATTATTCATTAACCTGCTCAATGTTTCTTTTTTTTTTAAGCCAAATTATCCATTTTTTTTTTTTTAGTTCTAGATTAAATTATTTTCCAGAAAACGATTAAATCATTATACATAACTGCATTTCTAAGTGTGAAACATACATAAAAAGAAGACCAACTAAGAACTGTGGATCTTATGGCATCACCTTTTGATACTGATAGAAAAGAAGAAAAAAAAATCAGAATCCCAAAATGCAACTGACAGAAATTAGACAAAACAAACTCCAAACGACAAAGAGGAAGATTCTGATATTGTGGAGAACAGTATTATCCCCCCCCCATCCCAAAAAATGATAAACACAAATTTTTCTTCTGCTGTAAATCAAGGTTGCAGGCCAACATATTGGTTGATCTTATTTTGAATGATCATTTTTTAGCCTGGTACTACTTGCAAAAACAACATGATTGGAAGACAAAGTAAAAGGAAAAAATATATCAAAATTTCCCCATTCCCTAAAGATGCTGGAGACACCAGATTAACCAAAAGGCATGTGGTGACAATTCTTTACTGAATTCCATGTTCAAATCTACTTTTACCCTGCTATCAAAGCATGAGGACACATAAAAGAAAAATCCATTCAGGGTAAATGTTGACATCAACAAGCATCCTCCACCTTTTCATTACCAATATTCATTTGTTACTCAGTGCTTTAAAAGTTATAAACATTTGTACAATCTTCAGCAAAATTTCACATTGTATGTGCTCGTTCTGTCATTGTGAATGTCTATGTTGCATCTATGTTCAGTAGAACCTCTTGTTTCTCTCCTGTCTCTTCTGGAAAACCACAGCTCCCACCACTGCACACACAACGATTCCAAGCAGAGCACACAGCAGAAGCAGGAACACCTTCCAACCTGTGAGGGGCGTGCCACGGAAGTTTCCAGTAGGATCATCAATGTTGTCTGCAAAAGAGGAGGGGAAATTTAACCATTTCAATGCAGTCTTTGTGCTATTCTACTCTTGGCTTAAAATTTGATTTCACTACCAGTACTACTTATCTAACTGCAATTCCATTCTGTTATTCCACAGCCTTCTTGCACACACAAAAACCAAGTCATGGTCCTGTAGAGATCACAGGTTTCCCTGGCAGTTTATATCCAAGGGTCTACTTCATGTTCTTCCTTCTTCAGCCCATATTAAACCATAAATGGTCCATGCAAAGCACTGCATTAGCATCACTGTGTGTTTAAAATGAGCAAGCAGCTAAATGTCCTTTAATGGTTAGCAATGGCAACCACAGTTTAACCAAGTTGCTGGTGTATGAGGTGGGAAGTCAATGTTGCATTCAGATTCTGGTGCAAGGACATCCAGGCAGCATGGCGCTTATTTCAGGCTGTGATGTATCAGATTTATTGATAAATTGTTGAAAATGTTTCATACTAATTCACGCTTGTGACGATCATGAATTACAGTTGTAATTAACTAAAACAAGTACTTGTTAAATCAGCAGCTGCACACCATTTAGCATGGTTGGTATGGGGTATTTAAATGTTTACAGCAATCTCTGTGATCGTTACATAAGGACATTCATCTGTACGACTCGTCCCATTGATCACCAGAGAGGAAGGTGATGAGTAGGAAACATTGAAATATGTGCAGAATTTATCTATTTTATTGGTGTCAAGTCGACTCAGCAGTGCTGGCATATACTGCGCTACAGTTTCGGATCTGGTAAATCAATCTATGATTAAAGTTTCATATGACGAGACAATAAATCTCAGAGAAAAGTGGTGATGCACACCGGCTTCGGTTACCCGATTCCTCTCTCTAAGAAACGTGCATATGAATCACAGACGGTATGAGGGACCACACATTTTAAAGTTTGTTTTTTATGAATCCCAATCGCTGCACTGAAGTGAGCATTTGTGAGTTTGAATGAGACAAGAATACTATAATTAATAAGAGTATGCACCATTGATACCACTTGACAGTTAATGGAAAACATGTTAACTGGTATAAAGTTTTCCTTTTTCCCAACTTCCTACCACGAAATCCTAACCTACCTTTGGGGGACTTAAAAAGGTTGACACTGGGCTCGATTTTAGTCCAGTCCAAGTTCTCTTCCTCTGGGGTGTGGTCCACCATCAGCTGGTACAGCTTCATAGAGATGATGTCATGATTATCTGGCACAATGAAGGATGAGAAAGATCATTGGATATTACTTTCAAAATCTAAATATCTGATTGCTTTTTGGCCAAAAGAAAAAAAAGTGAAAGTTTCAGAGAATTGCTTTTAAATTCATTTAAGCCAGATTCACTTTCCTCACTGTTATACTTCCCTGCTCTGTCATTACCTGAGAGGTCTCCAGTTGCTGCTGATGCACCAAAGTAATATCCAGTAGGGAGACGCACACCTCCAATGTCGATGCACTCTTTCCACTCGTTCTTGTCGTCCACATCAACCATCACCTGAAACAAAATAATGCCTATAATATTAGAACTTTTGGTTCCAAACAAGAGTAAAGATGGGGTTCTATAATTGTCTAAATGACAAAATCGGCAAAAACTGTAATTTGAAACCCAAAGATCCAAGAATAAGATGGCAGAATAGTCTGCTGGTGAGGATCTTTTTTATGTAAAGCAATTCAGGATCAACAAAGGCATTAAACTGGTATTCATGTGGGAATCCAGCACAATCCTATGGTTTTTAGGTATAGTGAGAAACCCAGAATGTATTCCTTTTATAAACCTTTGTCAATTAATAGAAAGAAAGGCTCACTGCACATAAATTCTCTTGAGGAGATCAAGATGCCATTTTCAATGGTAAGGAATTCTTTATGAATTATGCATGACATAATTAGAGTTATTTACGGTACTAAAATCTAAAGCTAAACATGTTTAGTTTTAAACAAATTCATTTTGTTTGGACAGCAGGCAAAATAAAACCTTTTTTACTTTGAAAAAAAAATAAATAAATAAAAGTATTCAGACTCACTTGTCTAAGAGTGTTCCACTAGATCTAGAGTTTGAACAGATTTGCGTCATATACTGAGGACATGAAGTCATTGGGCTGAGGAAGCGTTCAGTCATTTGATGCAGGAGTGTTGATTTAAAGCTACAGTACATCACCCCTTTGAAGACCGGAGTTTTTACACTCCTTTCCAAGAGGGAAATCTGAGGCCTTGTTTACCAGCTGCAGCTTGGCTCATTAACAGTACATTGATCCAAAACAGATCAGGAATCTGATTCATCAAGTAACACACTAAATGAGGCCTGAAACATGTGTATATCACATTTGACACAAAGCTTGTGATCAATCAAAAACAAACTTGGAAAGGAAACGTGCCGTCCCTCACCCGATGTGTCACGAGATCAAAAGACAACTGCATTTTGATACAGCCCGTCTCTCTGATGTCACATCCTGGAACAGTGGGTTTTTAAACCCAACTGCAGGAAGTACGCACCCTCTTCCCCTCAGGCTTTCAACCATGAAAGGAGAGACTCCAGTATTCTAGCTGGCCATCACTTTCCACCTGGTGGAAACGCTGGAGCCGGGGTCAGACTTTTTTTTTTCATTTCAAAAAGTTTATTTCAAACCTGCACACATTTTACAATACATATAATGACAAACAATACATATGCATGGCTTGAAAAGGGGATGGAAGAAGCAAAAGCTTATACATGTCCAATCCCCTCCCGCTCATCCCAAGGACACTCCTGCAAATGACTAAACAAAGACAAGACAAAAAAACCCATCCACACGGTTTATATATATATATATATATATATATATATATATATATATATATATATATATATATATATATATATTGCTGGTTAACTGGCTGCTTCCATCTCGTTAGAAGAAGCCTGGGCTGAAAACCCTGGAATGAAAGAGGACCCAATGCTGAAAAGTAATCTTCACTGGTACACGTGCCCGAAATGCAGAACCAGTCCAGAGTCCAGAGTTGTTACTCTTGCTTGGACCAAGAGTAACAACTCTGTTTTATTTACTTTTTAACATGTATTTTTGCCTGGGTGAGGAGAATTAGTAGTTAAAGAAACATTACAGTTTCCTTATACTGCCACCTATGGCAAAGACACAAAACTGCAGCACTGTTTTGCCTGTTTTCCCACCTTGCGCTCATACTTAGTTTTTGTTTTTTTTCACCTTAGGTGGAGTTACCATTGGCGTCTGAGTTGAGCTGGATGCTGGTCACTTCTGAGTATCCGCAAACTCCATCTTGAATATAACGCTTTGATTGTTACCTAGCTTGGACTCATGAAACATATAGGTGCTTGATGACATCAGCAGAAAAGCCCGGGAACTTCTGACCAAAAGTACATTCAGATTCAGTAAAATAGGGAAGGATTAGCTCTGAACTGCTGAGGAACTATTTTTTAGTCTTAAAGGGTCAAAGAAAAATGCTATTTTAAAGATATTTTCCATTAAAAGGGTACAAAATGTCTCATTAAATGTTGATTGGTTTATTCTAAAGGCTTTCCTTAGAAATATTCTGCTGTTTTTGTGACCAATACTTAAAGTGTGTTAAAACACGTTAAAGTTGCTGTCAGTTATAATAATTTGAAAAACATTTAGATTATCGCTTACCCTTGATTGAAATAATACATGAATTAACTATAGCCACTTTTTATAGTTATCAATAAATGGATAATAAAACTGCTCAAAATGCATGACAAATGTGTACACACATTTTGGAGGAAAGACCAAAACGATAACAGACGGTGAGAAAGTTAGTCGTATAGACCCTTGTTTTGGCAGGGGTCGGCAACCTGCAGCTCTGAAATGCCCACCTTGCAGCTCCCTGGAGCTTTTTCAAACATTTATGAAAATGGAAAAAGATAGATTTTTTTTTGTTTGCTTTAATATGCTGTGCAGGAGGTCAAACAAACATTCATTATGTTTTATAAAGCTGTAAAAATGTGTATAATAAATAATAATTTGTATAATAAATAATAATACATAAATATAAACAATAAATGTTAACATTTCTGTTAAGGGAGATTTGGGTCATGGCTGTTGTAAACCAATCAGCGGGTGTGTCTCGGGCCATGAATCCCAAAGGGAAAAAAGGGAAGATAGCTGATGAAAACAGAGGATTCAAAGAAGAATGGACCGAATCATTTGCTTTCATTACTAATGTGAAAGGATTGCCTGCATGTTTGCTTTGCATTAAGAAGTTGCCAAGAAATAAAAGGGAATAACTTGAAAAGGCATTTACCGGGAAGGCATGCTAAATTTGCAGACAATCACAAAGTTAGGAGTGAGAGAAAGAGTTTCAAAGATAGATTAGGATCAAAGATAGATTTAAGAAGTAGATTGCATCTCCAAACTCCACTACTGCTGCTAGTGTCGTCGCAAGACATGGATAACCGTTCACAGATCGAAAAGGTAGCACTCTAATGCAGGTAGGTGAATTTTCTTCCATTTTTCCCCAAATCTTCAAAATAAAAAATAACACCAAAAAACAACTTCTTTGTTGCGTTTCCATAATTTAATTAATGCAACAAAACCTAATACATACAAACCACAAGGTGAAGGGCGGTAAAGCGGCGAGCAGTTCACTGCTCCTTCCTCTCCTTGTGCTACTATAGAATTTGAACTGAGCAGAGTCGTCACATGATGGGACATTTACTCAAGTATAAACATTTAATCATGAGTACTTATTATACATTTAGTCCCATGTATTCCTTTTCTATAGTTGGCTAATATAATTAGAGTCTGTGTTGCTATACAAGGCTTATATACGACATTTACATTTTTGTGGCTCCAGACAGATAGGTTTTTGTTTTTTTGGTCCAATATGGCTCTTTGAACAGTTCGAACGTTTGTTTTATTTCCTATAGGTGATGAGTGATATAAATAGTACATTATAAAAATAAAAAATGCAAGTTATTCTACTTTAAAAAAAGGAACCTTTCCGGGTCACTACTCACAGTCAATCTTCCTCTGGAATAACGGATAGCAAGGTATGTGTCAAAGTCTCGGTTTCGGATGTCAGCTGAGCAGCCTCCAAGCTCCGATGAACGGCCATCTTTCCCATGATCATAATTCACTGTGCCATTGTTTACCATAGCTGAGATGTAAGGGAAGGAGCGCTGGTAACAAACAAACGATCAGATACAAAATATTAAATAATCACTGCAACAAAACTAGAAAACAAAACAAAAAATGACAGAAATGGATGCAATAGACCATGTGTGTATAAAACAATACAACAGGACTCCTTAAATCATAAAATGTGGTTTTGCAACACTAAAAAAATTTTTTTAGCATGCAAAACTAAGCTCATGGTTTCAGATCAAATGGTCAAATAAAAGGATGCAGCACTTTTGAAATGAAATTATAAATGCAATTTATAGATAATCCAATTTACTGTTTAGATTTCAACAAGGATGTGACAATGTAAAATTTCCCATTCAATTTCTGCACATGTTTAAATCATTCTGGGATTTAAATGTTGAAATGCTCTGAATTCTGACAACATGCTTCTTAACAATAACGACATTAAACTCAGCACTGAAACAAAAGCTAAGAGCATGCCAACAGGAACCACTCACATCCGTCGACTCATCATTAGAGTAAGTATCTATAAAAACGGCCAGTCCCTGGAAGTGAGCATTGTTGGAAAACACAGGCCCTGAAAAGAAACAAGCAGATTAATCCACTAGAGCCACACTCACATCCATTCCATGGAGGTCATTGCGGAAGGTGTCCAAAAAAATAGCCAGGCCATGAAACTGATCTTGGTTTCCAAACACTGGGCCTAAGGTGGAGGCAGACATGAGGGTGAGATATGAGCGGACAACACACACACTGAACAGCAAATATGAGAAGAAACTGAAACAATGGAAATGAACATTGGATTATGATGGACTCTTGAATTAAGATTGTTACATCTAAAGTAATTATGTACAATTCCTGATAAAGTCACTATACTCTACCACAACTACAATTTTTCATCCCTTTAACTTTTTAAATTGACTACTTGCCCTTAAACCAACCTGTTTCGCAAATAAACTGTACAAATAGATGTCCTATAGTCCTGTCTACATGCCCCAACCCCATATTTTTACAATTTACTGCATACATCTTAAAATCCTGCTTTAATTTGTAAAACTGTCTGTTTGGTGTACGCTGCAGATTAAAAAGGGGTTACTTTATTTAATTTTTGCTTTTGGCTTAGCAAGAGATGTGATGCGACTTAAACAGGTCTAACTTGTGCAGCTGCTGAATCGCTCCTCCAACAAACGATTTGCTTGGGAACAGATTTTGTCAGAAAGATAGTAAATGTGTTAAATCTAAATAAAAATCTGCACTATACAGGTGCTGGTCATAAAATTAGAATATCATGAAAAAGTAGATTGATTTCAGTAATTCCATTTAAAAAGTGAAACTTGTATATTATATTCATACATTACATACAAACTCATATATTTCAGATGTTTATTTTGTTTAATTTTGATGATTACAAATGACAACAAATGAAAATCTCAAATTCATCATATCAGAAAATTAGAATATTGTGAAAAGGTTCAAAATTGATGGCCCCTGGTGCCACACTCTAATCAGCTAATTAACTCAAACCACCTGCAAAAGCCTTTAAATGGTCTTTCAGTCTAGTTCTATAGGCTACACAATCATGGGGAAGACTGCTGACTTGACAGTTGTCCAAAAGACGACCATCGACACCTTGCACAAGGAGGGCAAGACACAAAAGGTCATCGCTAAAGAGGCTGGCTGTTCACAGAGCTCAGTGTCCAAGCACATTAATAGAGAGGCGAAGGGAAGGAAAAGATGTGGTCGAAAAAAGTGTACAAGCAAGAGAGATAACCGCACCCTGGAGAGGATTGTGAAACAAAACCCATTCAAAAATGTGGGGGAGATTCACAAAGAGTGGACTGCAGCTGGAGTGAGTGCTTCAAGAACCACCACACACAGACATATGAAAGACATGGGTTTCTGCTGTCGCATTCCTTGTGTCAAGCCACTCTTGAACCACAGACAGCGTCAGAAGCGTCTTGCCTGGGCTAAAGAGAAACAGGACTGGACTGCTGGTGAGTGGTCCAAAGTCATGTTCTCTGATGAAAGTAAATTTTGCATTTCCTTTGGAAATCAAGGTCCCAGAGTCTGGAGGAAAAGAAGAGAGGCACTTCATCCACGTTGCTTGAAGTCCAGTGTAAAGTTTCCACAGTCAGTGATGGTTTGGGGTGCCATGTCATCTGCTGGTGTTGGTCCATTGTGTTTTCTGAGGTCCAGGGTCAACGCAGCCACATACCAGGAAGTTTTAGAGCACTTCATGCTTCCTGCAGCTGACCAACTTTTTGGAGATGCAGATTTCATTTTCCAACAGGACTTGGCACCTGCACACAGTGCCAAAGCTACCAGTACCTGGTTGAAGGACCATGGTATCCCTGTTCTTAATTGGCCAGCAAACTCTCCTGACCTTAACCCCATAGAAAATCTATGGGGTATTGTGAAGAAGAAGATGCAATACACCAGACCCAACAATTCAGAAGAGCTAAAAGCCACTATTAGAGCAACCTGGGCTATCATAACACCTGAGCAGTGCCACAGACTGATCGACTCCATGCCACGCCGCATTGCTGCAGTAATACAGGCCAAAGGAGGCCCAACTAAATACTGAGTGCTGTACATGCTCATACTTTTCATGTTCATACTTTTCAGTTGGCCAACATTTCTATAAATCCTTTGTTTTTATTGGTCTTCAGTAATATTCTAATTTTCTGATATGATGAATTTGAGATTTTCATTTGTTGTCATTTGTAATCATCAAAATTAAACAAAATAAACATCTGAAATATATGAGTTTGTATGTAATGTATGAATATAATATACAAGTTTCACTTTTTAAATGGAATTACTGAAATCAATCTACTTTTTCATGATATTCTAATTTTATGACCAGCACCTGTATGTCCAGTCTAGAGTTAGAAATATTCTTTGCCATTCCCTAAAGTTGTGTTAACACCAAATGTGTTTGTTTTGCCTGGACCAACTTATTTACATGGTATCTAAGTGTACAGTGCAGCTAAAGAGCATCGTTTAGATTAGATTAACTTTTTGTCCCAAAATAAATTTTATATGGGAACAGACTCTGGCTGCTACATAGTCCAAAGTATGTGTCACACTGCATTCACACATAAAAAGACTGCTATAGAAATTTCATTATAAGACAATGAATAAAATACACAAGGAAGTGTGTGACATTACAGTCACCATAAAAAAAATTTGAAAAAAAAAAAAAATAATAATAAAAAACCCTTCTTTAAAAAATCTGTTATATGAGATAATAAATAAAAAAAAATCATGTCAGTTTAGTTTAAATTTTGAATACCATTGCCTATTCCACAATTTACTGCTTGATACTGTTTATTGCCTTAATGGAAAGCGGAACAAATGAGTTCAATCAACAGGCAGGGACTCTAAGACATCGCCCTGAAGGAAGAAACTGATGTAACTGATGAAGAACCATTTCAGCGAGGTTAAAGGCATGTTTTTGGTTAATATTGCTACGCAAGTGGTTCTTTAGCTCCAGAGGGGCATCAAAGCAGGCCACCTAATCTCAAGATGGATAGATGGATGGATGGATGGATGGATGGATGGATGGATGGATGGATGGATGGATGGATGGATGGATGGATGGATGGATGGATGGATGGATGGATGTCATTTTTTTAAGACCATCATTGCAAGAAAAAAATAAAATAAAATCATAAAAAATATGCATTTAAACCATGCAGCACAAACATAAATCCAAACATGGCACACTGAACTGTAAGTTGGTGACAGTGGCATCAGATGAAGGAGTATGCGCTGCATCCGGAGGGTTGTCGGTTCGAGCCCTGGCTCCGGCTTTCATTGTCGTTGTTTCCTTGGGCAAGACACTTCATCTGCATCGCTTACTGATGGTGGTCAGAGGGCCCAGTGGGGACAGTATACGACAGCCTCGCTTCTGTCAGTGAGCCCCAGGGCAGCTGTGGCTACAATGTAGTTTGCCATAACCAGTGTGTGGATGAATGACTGAATGTAGTGTAAAGCGTGTTGTTCAGGTCTCCTGAACCATTTACTTCCAGAGAATCTGAGCAGAAACAGGAATTGGGATTAAGATTTACCTGGATGGAGTCTATCCTTCGTGTACCAGATGGCAATGCCGTCTCCATGGAGATTCTTCTTTCCTGATCCGTGAACTTTAAACTGCACATGCAGCTCCCAGTCCTTCAGGTAACAAGGCTACAAGGAATTTACATAAACAAAGTGAGAAGGAACAGAAATTTTGAATGCATAAACAAATGCAGTAAGGGGTTTTTATTTGCACCAGAGACTTTCAATATCCCCAGTGTCACTTTGGGTTGATGAAGATTGTCTAATAGGATGTGGGAGAGATTTTATGCAGCTTTGACAAATCATAAGGCCGATTGATTGAGCCATCTTTTATGATTGAGCCATCTTTTAACAAAGTTTATCAAATGGTACACCACCGAAAAATTCAAGCAATGACATGTACCAAATTTACCACAATTTTCCACCCGCTCCACTTGGCCTGGTTCTACTCTACCCCACCCAACTATTTATTAACAATTTCCTTTACTGCTTTTTCAGTACAGATATATATTTTTTTTTTTATAGACCTTCTTAGGAGTAGAATTTTTCTTCATTTTGGTCAGAGCAGACAAATCAGATCAAGGATAGATTTGCAAAACCTTAAAAGTCTGGCTACATGCAGAGATCTTAATAATTAAATGATAAGAATGTTTATTGGGTTTTGAAGTAATGATAATTATGAGGCTTTGGTCTCCTTAATAATTTATATTCAAACAAAATTCTTCTAGAATGTACAATTTGTTAGAGTGTGCCTTCTGCCCTCATTGGTTTGGATGCTTGGACCTTGGATTTTTAATGACTCCAAGTGATCAGAGTCATGGAGTGAAACAATCATTCAACTTCATTATTTCAGTCAGCATACATTCAATCTTCCTCACCACAGTATTCCATATGGATCCCTGCTTGCTTCTCTCATCTGGAGTAAGTCGGACATACGAGCTTGTCACCAGTGTGCTTCCCCAGAAATCCCACTGACTTCCAACACCTTAAGAGAAATATGAGGGGATCAAACAAAAATCTAAAAGGAACAATTCATTACTTTTGCAGTCATTCAATTTGCCCACAACCTTAAGATATCAGAAGGAAACAAACAAAACTTAGTGCCTCACATGGCTAAACATGCACAATGCAAATCCTGGATTTGATTCCTCTTAAACTGACTGAAGTAAATACTGTTCATGAAAACTTTAAACATGGCAGATCTAAGAAATAAAATATGCAAACGGAGACAATAATGCATCAATACAACAATTGTTTGAGCGAGTTATTTTATAACGCCACCTCATACTGCTGGTGTTTAAACGAGCTGTCTGTGTTTGCACTGCAATTTAATTACTGTTTGCACAGCCTTACACGTATGCAGACTAGATTTCCAAAGCATGAGAGTTTTTCCTGCATTGCTTCAGGCACCTGCAGGTAAGGATGCAAGTCAGTTGCTTATCATGATCAACAACCTCAGAGCTTCTACAGGAGGCCAATACAGGGGTGCCTGTATGAAAGTAGGCAAAACTAAAAAGTACAAACAGTATCATCATTGTTAGGTACCAGATCAGTGAACTTATTTTTAACTGTTTGAATGCTAAAGTAAAATAAAATTGAAATCTAAGTTTGAGTCAAGAAGATAATATAATTTGGTTTTAGGAACATTTACCCTCTTCATATACAATAGTGGAAAAAATATAGAAGAACACTCTGCATTTCATTTGTCAACTCAACTCAAATAAAGCCCAAAAATGCATTTTTTTTTTAAAAGAAATTATAATCTACAATCATGTTATGTTCACTAGTTAGATCAGTTTTAGTCGAACACTTGGCTTTTATCATACCTGTGACAACAAAATAGCAATCCAGGGATAGGAAGGAGTTAAGTCAGACTTTTTGGATGAAAGATCTGTTTTAAAATGCCTTAGAGCTTTAGGAGAGGTAATTTTCCAATGGGGAATGTTCTGGACGACCTGCAAATGATTTAGCAGGCTTCAAGTCAAGCAATCGAGAACTAGATTTGCAGATGTTTCAGAATATCTATCTTTTCCCTTGTAATTTGAAAAAAGCTATTGCAGATGCACATTGTTGGAAATGTGTCAATTTGAGCTGGCGAGATCACTGAAAACTTTTTGAAACCGACGATAGAGAGGAAAACAGACAGAGTTCGGCTGGTTGGTTAGCTTTCCTTACCTTGGTAAGGCTTTGTCAGTGAGTGCTCCCTCTTAAGATGTTCCGCGTTCCCGTCCGTTATATCACAACTAACCAGGCAACACTTCACTAACAGGAAGACAAATGTTGGCCTCAGAAATGTGTTAAAGCCAAACATTTTGTCAAAACAGCATCGAGGGGAAGCTCTATGTTCAACTTCGGGGTTCCGAACTCCTTTAGCCTTTCTCTTCCGACAAGAAACAAGAACCCCTCCGTGTTTATACACCTCCAACACTTATGCTTTTAGTAGATAATCCCCAAAATGTCAAAAGCTCAATGAAAAATATTTGTTGAATAAATGTAAGAAATATAAATAAATATTTTACTTAAGCAACGCCAAAAATATATTTAACTGTTGTTTGTTCCTGTACGGAAACTCAAAAGTCACGGTATGGCTTTAAGAGCCAATCAGAAAGAAGCACATCACAAATTAGGCCAATCGGAGAGAAGTTTTTTTTCTTTTATCTGTCCACTAGATGGAGGCAAAGACTAAATAAAATAAAATAGAAAAAAAACAGGAGCGACTCAAAAGCAGATCATGTGATGTCAGAGACTTTTAAGACATGTTTACAATGTTAGTTTCTGGTACACTTACAACATGCATCAACATTCATGCAGTTTTATTCTGGTATAACATAGAAAAAGGTTTGTAGTTTCCACCTCCATCATTGTTAATATAACATATTTATCAAGGATGTAGGCCTCAATTTATGCTTATTTCTCTTTCAAGGTACCTATATATAAAAAAAAAATAGTTGTGTTTTTATCCCTTGAGGCTAAAGTTGGTGTTTTATTATCCTCAGCCAAATGAGATTGTCTTTAATTTTATTGGGTGACTGCTATCAGTAACTTTGGTACGTGGGTTAAGGTATGTTCTCATCTGTTTGTTATTTGAATGTTATGCTGTTTCTAACAGTGAGGGAAATAAGTATTTGAACATCCAGCTATTTTGCAAGTTCTCCCAAATAGAAATCATGCAGGGGTCTGAAATTGTCATTCTAGCTGCTGGTCCACTGTGAGAGAAATAATATTTAAAAAAAATCGAGAAATCACAATGTATGATTTTTAACTATTTATTTGAATGATTCAGCTGCAAATAAGTACTTGAACACCTGTATTTCAGCTGGAATTCTGACACTCAAAGACCTGTTAGTCTGCCTTCAAAATGTCCACCTCCACTCCATTTATTATCCTAAATTAGATGCACCTGTTTGAGGTCATTAGCTGTACGAAGATACCTGTCCACCCCATACAATCAGTAAGAATCAAACTACTAACATGGCCAAGACCAAAGAGCTGTCCAAAGACACTAGAGACAAAATTGTACACAAGGTTGGAATGCGCTACAGGGAAATTACCAAGCAGCTTGGTGAAAAAAGGTCCACTTTTGGAGCAATAATTAGAAAATGGAAGAAGCTAAACATGACATGTAAACATTATAAAAGTGTGCCAAAAGATGAGGTATTGTGCATGATTTTTTTCACAAACAGATAAATAAAAGGCAGTTATCCAGAGTGATTAAATCCAGAAATACACAAGCATTCACCACAACAACAAACACGCACACACATACACCTAGTACTCAAGTTGAGGGGAAGATGGCATCCCCCTTCTCAAAAAAATCTTAAAAATCATCCCCTGTCTTAAATGACCACCCCCCCATACCATCCCCTGTGACATTTTAATACAGAATGTGTAAAATGTGTACTATATATTAACAGTAATAGCAATAATATTGCCCTTTCAACATTTGGCGGGCTGTGGGCCAGTAGCCTGAGCAAAATAAATAAGATCAGTCCTCTGCATTTATCCCTAACTATGTAGGCACAGTGATAGTCATGCCAGTCCAGAGACTGACTGCAGTTCTACTTTAAGGTGCCTTGGTCAAGATCAATGACCAGCGTACCCTACATGTAATAACCATACCATGCACTGCAAAAAATCTGAATCTAGATAAGTCATTTTTTCTTAAAATAAGTGCATTTGTTCTTGGATTGAGGAGGTAAAAGAGACATTTTGCCAATGGAACAAGACAACTTACACTTAAAATAAGAAAACACAATTGCACTGTCTTATTTCAAGTGCATATTATCTAATTATCTTATTTTAAGAGTAAAATTACTCATTCCATCGGCAAACTTTCTCATTTACCTGCTCAAATTAAGGGTGAATACACTCAATTTAAGAAATTTTTTACTTATTTCTAGATCGTTTTTGCAGTGTGCATGTTGCTTTAGGGTAATGGACTATATTGAGTGTGCTTCCAAAAAAAAAATGACCATCCCCCTTCTTTTTTTTTTTTTTTTTACAGCTAGACTACTGCACACACCCAATCCACGTACCGACCCACCCCCCCACACACACACACACAAAGAGGTCTGTTAAGGGCAAATCTACAGGTAAAAAGGCAGCACACATGCATTGCGATGACTCAGACAATAAAACTTAATTGAGGCTAAAGTCATTTGATCAAGCAGGGAGACCTTAAATTTCTCAATCTGGCACTGCCTCTGTCTGATCCATAAATGTCACTGCAGTTTCAGCATCAGCTGTGACTCATCGGTCTGCAGAAAACTAAGCATTTAACAGTACAGTATCCTGATTTTATTGGACAGAGCCATTTAGGAAAGCAGACGTGACTGCACATACACATTTCTTTCCTATTACTGTTTAATTCAGGTGTAAAAACTCTTTAGGGTCTACATCCATTTGAATACAAAAAGCATTGACCAGTTTGGCAACATGACTGGTGTTTGGAACCACAGAAAAGTGCTGCCCACAATCTTGGAAAACAAGGCAGAATCTTTCCAGATTCAAATTCTAAAACTTGTTTTTAGGAAGAAGCAGTGATAGCAGGCGTAAATCCAATGAATGGGGAGAGAAGGTTATTTCTATGCAGAGATATCTAAGACTGGGTTTTCATAACCTGAAAAAAAAAAAAACTTATGATGCAACTACATATCATGCAAGACATGGTTGCCAATCTGCCCCAACCTATTTTTTGTTGTATTTAAAAAAAAAAAAACCAAGGCAGTGGTAGAAAGTAACAGAGTTCATTTACTTAATTACTGTACCTAAGCACATTTTCTGATTATCTTCATTTGAGTAAATTTTTTGCGGGGGAAACTAATAACTTTCCCTTTACTACATTTCAAAGTAAAATATTGAACTTTCTACTCCACTACATTTTTAGGAAGCTAGTCGTTACTCGTTCCTTTTGGCTCGGCTTATCTTTGTAAGCCACTGTTGATTTTCTCTTAATAATGCGGTTGGCCACACAATGTTTCTCACAAAGTTAACCCTTAAGAACAGATATCCTGGATGTTTTAGTTATCTATAAGGTAGCTTATCAGCAGCAATATGCAGAACTTTTAGATGCTGAGGACATAGGAAATACCTCATGGGAGAAAAACTAAAACATGCAAGATAGCAGCCCTTGGGACTGAATTTGGACACCGCTGTTTTAGAGATTTTATGACGATACAAATGTTAAAAATTCAGGGCAGGTATCATTTATAGTTAAAAGAAATGTTATTAAAGGGATAGTTATTGCCACGTTGTTAAGTAGGATGAGTCAACACATCAGGTGGTTTCTGAAAGTTACAGGTTTCTTTAGAATTACTCTGAAAATTATACAAGGATGTAATATTATTAGAGCATTTTATTGTACTTTTAAATACTTAAGTATTTTGAAAAGCAAGTACTTCAGTATTTTAACTTGAGTAGATTTTTGACAGTAAAATTTACTTGTAGTTGAGTAAGATTTGACTATGAGTTTTAATACTTTTACTTTAAGAACTACTGCTGAGTACTTCGTCCACCACTGTTTGGAGGTACTTCCTGTCTTCTTTGTCAAAGCTTGTCATGGCTTTTTTTTATTAAAATATCTGCATTTAGCATTCTTCTGTAATGTAGCCTTTAACACCACTTTAGGTGTCTATAAAATGTGTACAATAAGAATTATTATTAGTCAGTAGCTTTCTTTTACTTTATTTTTTATCATTACAGATTTATTTGGCAATAATACTTTATATCCTGTTCTATTTTATTTGTATCTCATATGAGTTCTGAAAAAAAGCTGTTCTCATGGCATTTCACAAACAATTTCTTCTTTGTATGTAATGTAATGTGTAATCTGTTGCATTCCAATCCAATTGATTTGATTTAATGTATTCTAATATACTATATATGTTCTTAAGGATTAACTTTGTGAGATATACCAATTCAATCCAAACAGTATTCATGCCTGTCAGATACAGATTCATAAAATTCTTGTATTTACAAGATGCAATGAGAGGAGGCCCTAGGGCCTACTAAGGACAAGCTTAAAACTCCTAGATGGCTTCAAAGTGCTTTTGTCTCCATCTTGAAATACTGAAGGAAAGACAAGTTTGGGAAACTTTGATCAGACTTTAACCCCCATGACCCAGTCCAGAATAAACACTGGTTTACTATGAATTTATGGTAGATAGATCTATAGTCGGCACGCTTTGAACTAAAGGATGTAAAAAGAAAAACTAAAATAAAGGGATGGACAGACAGACAGACATGAGAAAGACAGACAGACAGACAGACAGAGCCCTAGACTGTGAAAAACTTTCAAAACTGTCAAAAAAAATGAGAGCAAAGATTCCCTGACCTCCTAGTCTTCTCTTCCACATGGCAACAGAGGCATTCCAAAGCCAACCATGAGATTTAATTTCTCCTATGAGTACATGCTGTTCCCTGGGGGTTTCTCTTAATGTGACATACTCAAAACAACCCCCCCCCGAGAGTCTTCTAAAAGGAATCCCTACCAGCTGCTGGAAGCACCTCAACTGCTTTTCACACTACTGGGAAAATGCTGCCACTGTTTGGACAAGATCCAGTTTTTACCATTCATATTTGTTATCCTGTTTGTTCAGCAATGAAAAATTGCTTCCTGCATGTGAGGAACATAGATCAAGGCAGATTGTTTGGCTTGGCTTTTATCCTGTTGATTCCTACTTATCTCCGCTGACAGTACATGGCAAGAACCTGGATAGGTCCCCAAATCCATAAGGTATGTAAAGTAACCCTGTCTATCTGAGACCAAGCATTTGACACTAATTTATGCGTAAAGTTTTCACAACACCAATGGAAAAGCTGTTTTTTTCACTCCAGACACACTGTATTCTCATTACCCTAGAGAATGTATTGATCTGAAAATCAAAATGACCAAACTCCTATTCTACTACTTACAGTAGACACTCTCATAATTGTGTCCATGCTCATATGTGATAATCAGCAGAATAAAAAAAAAACATT